TGGAGATGTTTCAGTAAAGAATTCGAGTTCTTTATAATGTAACGCCTTAGCAAACGCGTGGAATCGCATTGCATATTCTCCGAGTGTACGATGCTCGATCGGAAGCGGTTTTTCTTCATGCTCCATGAATTCAGCGAGACTAAGGAGTCGATGGATGAGATCAGATGGTGCTGTGTTGGAGATGATAGCACTTTCAATTGATCTCACGAGACTTTCCTATCAAACGAAAGGAACTTTGAGTGATAGACCAATTGAACAGATGAACCACAAACCTGATATTGATCATATAACTCAGTCCAACAAGAGATGAAGGCGGCATTGAATAGTTCTTTGGCTAGAGGTGGGTGGGTATCCACCAGACTCATGCATGCACGCAAGGCATGAGAAGGAGATTCTTTCATGAGTTCGACAGAGAGGCGGTGTATCCACTCATTCCAATCTTCCTTGGTAGAAACCGAGGACACGTCCCATGCCTGCTTCAGGTGCTGTTGGTTGACTGTCAGTTTTGCAGCCTCGGCAGGAGCGGAGATTTCGGAAGCCTTGGACATGTCACTAAATAACACTCAGTAAATGGTCCATAGAAACAGTAATGCAGTAGACGGACAGAAGGTCATGAATGCTTGATTCTTGGGGTAGACGTTCACCATTTAACAGCTTCGATATCAAGTGTTCGTATCGAGGATGCGATATCCGGTTGCGCACGAGACACTGATTGGCGGATAATTAGTAGACAATGTGAGATCGACAATCGAACATTAGCTACCTTGTTGATCGTTGGTACAAATATGGCAAAATCAGATCCCAACTGGACGACCACAGCGCATAAGGTTTCCATAACTGCTTGACGCAGTTCGTTGTTTTGACCTTCGAGTACGCGCACTAAAGGATGGACGATGCGTGACGCATGATCTGAAAAGTTGACGCGCTGAGACAAGAGCGCTATGGTCTGAATTGCCTTTTTCCGCAGCGCTGTCGTCGCGTCTAACCTTTCGGCTGACTTTACTATGATGGGGATCACGATGTGGAGATACTCCTCGATATTTGAACCGAACGTCAAGAAAGCATCGAAGATCTTGATTTGCGTAGTCATTCTCTTTTCTGTGAGTTCCCCATCAAATACCTTGAGGAGATGGCGAAGAATGGTCGGTAAGAACGGCTTGAACTCTGCGTCCAAGGCCTTCCCCAGCGCTTCAATGAGTGATACAATAGGTAGCTGAAGGGAAGAGCTATCCCAAAGCTCTTTCACCAACCCGAATACTTCAGGCATATAATTGCGAATGTGCTGTTTGATGATGCCGACCAAAATTGCGAGCTGTTGCAGGTGGAATTCTTGCAACCTTGCGGTCGAAGTTCGCGCCACGGCAGTAAATGCCGGTATGATCTTGCTCGAAAGTTAATTGATACCAGCTTCCATGAAAATGATTTAGAACCATCCTACCTGAGGAAGAAAATTGACACATTTCAAACCTTGAGTCTGAAAAATGTTCATGATGGCCTCGATGACAGTGTGATGGTGATTGCTCAAAGAAGGATCATTTAAAACTCCAAGCAGTGATGTTATGACTACTGTTTGATAGTAATCGTCAGACGTTGTTGGAGAACCTATGTGAGAGATAGGGACTGCGTTGACAGCAAGCATCGGTGTTTCGTTGGCAGCTTCTTCCTCTGGTTTGGTCTATGCAAGAACTCAGAGTGAGCCTATCCTGCATAAAGCTATGAAATCAACACGTACCTTGCGTCGATAGGGATCTAAAGCACCAAGAATACCCAACACCTTGACAACTTCTCTCACGACCTCTCTGCGAGCATGGGGAGCAGATTCCGATCTCAAAATACGACCTAAGATAGGCAGTAATTGTGGGTAATCGACGAGAGGCGTAATCACGTAGCCTGTGCTGGAACACAGCTGGCCAAGGGTATGTAGTGCTGCATCCCTCTTCAGCGGAGAACCGTGGTCTGATAATTTCGCTATTATAACCTGCATGAGTTCTGGGATATGAGGCGTTACGTCTTCGCCGCCGACAGCAGCCAATTCTCCTAAGCACATTAGCACATTAGCTGCAACAGCAGGGTTCTCGTCGTTTGCTTTCTGCAGTAAGACACGTAACATAGGCAGAGCATATGGCTTGATAAGTCGTTGCGTTGCGCTGACAAGAAGAGTTAATAAGCGAGTACAGTCTTCTCGGTTGCGCCTGCAACTATTTGTCAAAATCCGTCAATTATTATAACGAAGATCGTGGACTTACATCACAGTTGAGTATTCAAGCTCTGTCAGAAGTTGAATCAGAGCTTTGCGAAGAGATGGCATAACATATGCTGGGTTGTGTTTTGCGAGCCGACCGATTAGGCCAACAGCAGTGACCCGATTCTCAAAAACCTCGTCGTTAAGAGCTATGAAAATCGACCGCACATTTTCTGCCTGTGCGAGATGTTTGTCGAAGCGCTCATGAAGTGATGATAGTACAGTTTGGCGAATAGTGGGATCTGATAATGTGTGGTGAGCGGATCAGTGAGAGGTGATTACTGTAAATTTTCACCTGGATCCGCTATACCCACAGTAAGGAGCTTATCGAGAACGTCGCTAATGATCTCGATAGCATGACTACTCGCTTGATAACAAATTGGATCTCGAACGAATAAACGACAACAGGTAAGGGCTCCAGCTCGGCGAACCTCCGCGTTGTCATCTTCCAGATAAGGCAGAGCACAGCTGCGGACGAACTCATTCAATACATGGCCTTCAAAATGATGTTAATATTGCGATTTTAAAGGTTGGAGTCATGCGTACCACTGAAATCGAAGCTCCCAAGAGTGGAGAGTGCAAGCGTGATCAGCTCAGGCCGTTTCCCACTCTTACTGGTCTGATGATCATAATTGAATGATATACATTCCAGGATATATTCAAAAAAAAAACTACTCACTTGAGAAACGTTTAAGTCTCGTGTGATAGCATTCATGTCTCCTCGCACGAGAGACGACGGTGCACCTATTTGCTTATATGGCTGGCCACTTAAAATCAACGATAGCATTTCCAAAAGGCGGTCTTGAGAGGATGGGTAAATTGCTTGAACCTGTACCTAAAGTCAAAGCTGACATACCTTGGATGGTTTTCAATAAAGGCGGGATATGACGCGCGATGGCCATAAGTGCTTGTCGTAGTGGCTCGCTCAGGCCACAAGCAAAAAAGAGATCAAGTTGGTCGTGAAGGAGTTTCGTGAGGTTAGGTCCGACAGCCGAAGCTAACATGCCAACGCATTGAAATATCGGTTCTTCAGATGGCGCGTTCTTTTTACTGCGACGTATTCGGATGAAATAATGTTTGACTGTTAAGCCTGAGAGCTTACCCTCGCGCTTGAAGTCCAAGTTTAATTTGTAGCATGATTGGATCAAGGAAAGGTTTCATGTCACTCTTTACCGCGGTAGCTGTGTGACCGATGGCAATGAAAGCTAAAGAGAAAGTGTTAAATAATCACTGGCCAGAATTAATGCGATGATATCTTACCAAATGACCTCTCATTAGGCTTTTCAAGCTGAGTCAATAAATGTCCCATGGATTTATGAAGATAGTGTTCCGAGAAGGTCTGAGTATCATAGGCTGCAAGAGTGGGTATTAAGGTGATGACCATCTTCCGAACCAACCCATCTCTGTGAGACTTATACCAAAGGATTTGCTCTGCAGTATCTAAAAAAGAATCTCGCATGAACTAGATGATATCAATAGTGTGAGCTTCACTCTTAGATATAAAATCCAGTACTTGCCATGTCCCCGTGCAGCAAAAGTTCTCGATAGGTGAGCAATGACCCATGAATGATCTCAGGTTGAGCCATTTTCAAACCTAGTTGTGCGTCCTGAAGAATCTTGACGAGATAAGACGTACGAGTCTGTCTCTCTCGGGTCGTAACAATTTCTAAACACGCAGCCAAGAGCTCAGCAGCACCTTCTCGAACAATGACGCGTGGATCCCTGAGGGGAGTGAGTATCTTCTCGAATACCAAGCTTATGTGAGAATGAAAATAGATGGCGCTATTCCTTGCCAATTCTTTCAGGATTAGGACTCCGGCATATCGAGGCGACTCTTGCTTGTCACCTTGAAGGAGCTCCACTGCTGCTGGAACTTCAAGGTTCATAAAACTTTCTCCGAAGTCAGCTCCTCCGATGGCAGCTATTTGACCTAGCGTTTTTGATGCCGCTAACATGATGTTCACATCATGGTTTGGTAATAACTCTTTGACGTAGTTGTAGATCCGGAAAAGATATCGCTTCAAACCGATGGTATCCTGGCCGTCATTCTCGATGAGATGGTCTACAGAGAGTTATAAATCAATCTTCGAGGCCTGATTGGATCAACATACCGATGGCTAGTAATCCACCCAACCTGTCAACATTGCTCTGACTATGCATAAGATCGAAGAGGCGTTTGTTTATGTCGTCATCCCAAAGTTTAGCTGCAGCATCGGGGGGGATTTCCGCCATGGTAGTAAACACCTGTGAGGGTTGCATCAGGGGTACTGGCAGGCATTCAAAGTGGAAGAACATACATAACGTCGAAGTTCAATGGCAGCCTGTAAGCGTAAATCATAACTGGGGCTTCGTAGGCCTTGGAAGAGTTGTCCAAGAATGTCGGTATGAACAGACTGCGTTGCAGACGCCATGTTTCAAACTGGCGCTGTCTATGTTGTGCGCTGCACTCACAGTGCCTGAAGCGTAAGCGGGCAAGAGGACGATGGTTTATACGAAGTTGTTTGGTGTTGTTGAATTCTAAGGCATCGACCCGAATTCTTCTTCGAAAGCCGGAACTTCAACTGTACTTAAGTACTTAGCTCTTACAATTGCATTTGAGCTTCCAATGGAAATCGACTGATGCGACACATCTCCGCGGGGCACATGTATATAACCGTATGTCAAAAACGAAAATGAAAATACATTGGTTGGACGAATAGTGCATACAAGCCTAATATCTAGCCCAGGTTATATATATCTATTAGTCCGCCACATCCATGGCCTGATGGTCTAGTAGTATGATTCCTTGTTAGGGTTGTGATGACATTTCGAGGAGGTCCCGGGTTCAATTCCCGGTCAGGCCCATGTTTTTGTCTCCTGGCATTTAACACAAGCCCATATTGCTCAAACTTCACACACGAGCATGTTCTGCGCTTCCATCATAATCGCATATACTTCAGTAAACATGAGTATGTATAATACATGTCCAAGTACTACTTAATGCCCTCACCGTTTTGAACACACTTATTAGAGCGTACTTGAACGGGATAATTTTGTTGGGAGTCATTCCAAGTTGACGAAAGCTAATTAAATTTTCTACGTGGACCTCCCAAGTGCAAGTCCCAATTGGCGCGAAAACCACAGCGGAAATAGGGTTGGAGCAAAGATTTGTGTCGCAACGTCACCACTCCAAAGTGAAATATGCAGACTGCACTATCGCAGTTATCAAGAAGCCGTTCAAATACGCTCTATTATCTTTCAATATTTTCAATCGTGCAGCATGCTGAAAGAGTTGTCGCTGTGCTCCGAGTGACTGCGCACGCCACATTTTACCCAACAACGGCACCGTTGCGCAGCGAAGAATTCCGCGGTTATTACCGGGTTAAAAGGCATTTGAGGCCATGGATGATGGTGTACAAGTACCACCCCTCCAAGCCCGTCAAGGCGACGGCATTGAACATTCTCAATGATCATTTTAGATCCGAAACAAGCAAGAAAGGAGTCTACGCTCGAATGCCGCCCAAACCCAGGCATTCCAGAGGATTTGCTTTTAGCCACAGCGCCTGTGGAAGAGCAAGCTCCCGACACTCCTCCACCCTATTACACATATGAAGGCGATTCACTGGGAGCTAGTGTCTCGCCCCTGCACACATCGGATTTTTCCACCATCAAAGTCCTGAAGAGCATCCATGTCGAGAAATTTCGCGGTCCAATATCTGGTGTGTAATATTCGGCGGTCCCACAAATTAGATTATTGAGATGATCTACCCAGGGACCTATTGCATTGATCCCGATGTTACAGGAGATGACCATGTACAGGCTGAGAATTATTCTAGCGACGGGAATACCGGTTTGCGTTTGGGCAAATCAACCGGCCATTTCTCTTCCCCAAATGCTTTGTTTCGAGCTAGGCATGGTGCTATCTCGCTCCATTTAAGTGCAAAGGGATCATCCGTGCAGCGAGACCGTACATCAATTGATGTTGCTAATCGTCATGGGGATATTTCACTTAGCTTCGTGAGTAACAATCTGACTTCGTCTCACAGGACTCTGAACACCGAGATGCCACTAGGAACCTTTACTCTCCGGGAAAAACCTCAATCTCAGTGTTTATACCCGCAGAGGTGAATTGTCTGTTTTGTTTTCAATGCCGCTTCCGTCCCAATTCTTGACTCCTTGAGATATGATTGGAATTTGGCCCTCACGCTTCCATCAAGGCGTCTACAAACCAGAAACGCGACCATATCATAATTGGGTCGTGTTTAGCGTATCTTCTGTTTCAATCTGGTTCTTTTTTTGGGAAGTTATTCATGGCTCGCCCCTTACGCATGTTGCTTCTCCAGGTAAAATCATGGTTCTTCTTCCCAGGAACTTTTGTGGGGACATCCAAATTTCCAATCGCAAGAGGGGTGGGTACGATATTCTCCCTGGATTGGCCAGTCGTATTCGCAATATGAAGGGCCAGTCACGAAAAACCATCCTTCACGTTGGGAACGGAAATGGACCTTCAGTGAACGATCTGGTTGATGCTGTAACAGATCACTGTCAAATCACTTCACGCTCTGGAAAAATCATCGTTGGCTTGAGCGGCGAAGACGTGATTCCAAACAGACAGGGAGATGATAACTTGTGGAAGAAGCTGGGTGGTTACTTTCGCGGATCCTCCGCATACAGATCTGTGTGAGCCGCGCGTTCAAGTGGCCGGCATCATTGAAGAGAGGTTTCATCATCTGCGAGGAGATACCATCAGATGTAGTTTTTTTACACCACTAAGGTCTCTATGCTGTATTATTTTGACGTGTATATCATGTAGGACTGAAATGAACTTTAGGGACAAATGGTTCACACTCATGTTGCAAAATTACCTAAACCCGATAAGCACGGAACACGGATCACGCCTCTGTTCCACATGTCCGAGATGCACATCTGGGCGCCGAACCTGATAAACTCGAAACTCATGACACCAGGGACCAAGTTATTGATTCTTTCCCCGGTCCCTTCGCTCCTACCTTAACTGTCCAATGGCCGTCCCAGCGCTTGATTTTCATGAAGGCAAAGGATGTCTATCCTTGAACAACTTCTTCAGGTTCAAACGTTCAAACAGGAAAGCATTTGATCGGAACATCTCAAGCGATGGCTGTAGCCCGAGTAAGCCGTCAATCCCTCCTGCACATGAATCGATTGTATGTTTTATATCTGTCGAAGAGATGTTATATTTCTTAAGAGATTTGAACAGAACTTAGAGCCATGTGTTTACTACGCCTCTTGTTGTGACTTTGGTCCCAGCGATTTGGACGAGGCGCCAACCCTATGGGATACTCTCCCTGCGTATTCAGCCTCTAATCACGACATATCCCTTGCTCCCGAAATAGTAAAGACCATCGAAAATACTGTCGATAATCTTGATCCTACTCTAAGGACAATGAGTCTACAGATCCATGGTGAGAAGGGCCTGGACGTGACATAGATAGCGCGGTTAATTCAGTGCCATTTTAGCTCACCCTGAATTGATGTTCGAGGAAAAGTACGCAGATATTTTGTTCACCATGCCTGTTTCAAAGCTAAGCTATATTCTGGGTGGATAGATACGCTCATGATATTTTATCAGATTTCATGGAGAGCCATGGTTTTACTGTTACACGGCACTACCTTGGGCTCGACACAGCGTGGAGAGCGGAATACGTGCACGGTAAAGGAGGTAGAACTCTGGGAATTAACTCGGAAATGGATGCACTACCATTGATTGGACATGCCTGCGGGCATAATCTCATTGCCGTCAGTGGAGTGGGGGTGGCCATAGCCGTAAAGTCTGCGTTGCAAATTCACAATGTCCCAGGAAAAGTGGTTCTGTTGGGTACTCCAGGTAACCTCTTCGTTCATATCTTTCCTTTATTGCACCTAGACTGATTTTTTGAATAGGTGAAGAGGGGGGTGGGGGCAAAATTATTCTTCTCGAGCGCGGGGGGTATCGGGGCATGGATGCATGCATCATGTAGGTCCGCGTAATTACTGCGGCTAATGCAGCTAATATCTCGGCGTAGGTGCCATCCATCGGTAGGGGTTCCAAACTCTGCATCTTTGGTATCTACCCTGGCTATGCAATCTTTTGACGTTGAATTTTTTGGACATTCGTAAGTATGGTTATTTTCCCAAGTTACACGGTCTGACATTAATCACAGTGCACACGCTGGAGCCGCCCCTTGGGAAGGCACAAACGCTCTTGACGCAGCGTTCGTAGCTTACTCCAGCGTCGCTGCCCTTCGTCAGCAGATAAGACCTGATCACCGCGTTCATGGCGTTATTCAGGGGACCGAAGGAGCTGCAAATGGTCAGATATCTGTACTACTAATTGACTAGTTTTTCACATGTCGCGCTTTTCAGTTATACCCGATTATGCCAAGATGAAGTGGTATATTCGAGCGCCAACTCGGGATCAGTTGGTTACGCTGCGGCAGAGGGTTCAGGCATGCTTCCAGTCAGCAGGGTATGGTCGCGATGTCATCTTTATCTGACTTGGACTTTCTTCAGTGGAGCAGCGCTCGCAACTTCCTGCCGCGTCAATATCGTGTCCAGCATGGTGTATTTTGATTTACACCAAAATAGCGTACTGGGTAAGCCATCAGTGCCGCATAGTATGGTTCTACTTATCGCAGTTGGCAGCGGAAGACTTTTTCAACACGATCAGCAGTCGTTTCGGCGTAACCTTGGGATCCCGGCTAAAATCAGGAGCCTCTACAGATTTTGTCAGTTTAAATAGCTACTTATGCATGATGGCGAAAATCTGATGAACTTCGTATGGTTTCAACTCTAGGGCAATGTCACTTACGGCAAGTAGATCAAAGGCACAAAACACCAATTCAAATACTAATGATATTTTAGAATTGCCTTCGATTCATCCATCGTTTGGTGAGTCATGCCTGGGGAAGGTATGCGAAAATCTATTTTGATACCCCTTGATATAATTTATAGCGATTCCAACATTACCGAAAGGGGGGAACCATTCGCCGGCTTTTGCACAGTCTGCGCGAACCACGGAAGCTCACAAAGCATGTATGGCCATTACGAAGGGCCTCGCGTCTACGGGATTCCGCGTTATCAATGACGACAAATTCTTCCACGAGGTACTTACATGCCGCAGCTTTTCCCCATTTTGCTTTTGGAGACACCGACTGACTTGTGATGTGACCATGCCAGGTAACAGAGGCCTTCCAGGCTTCCAAAATTTGAAATTGAGCTACTCAGTTCAATGAAAGGCAGGACATTCCTCACACTTTGTAGGTTTTCGACCTATTTGCATACACGATGTAATATTATCCAAACTGTCACAATAATGTGATACTTATAGGTAGAATGTCTAGTGTCCAGTACCAGTAATCCCAAATTTACGACACTATGCCGCGGTAGCCTCTTCTGCTTTCTCAGTTTGCTCGCCCTTAACATCCTTGTAAACCTTACGCCCCTTGCCGTGTCTCGGTTTACTTGTAGCCGCTTCAGCAACCATCCTGCGAGAAATGAATCATGAGAATATCCAGAATAAAGAGCGACGTTTGTATCGAGATACGAATCATGCATACCGTTCTAGTTCGCGACGCTCTTCGTCCGATTCATCTGGTACGGTTGATTTAAATATCATGCCCACGAGCAGCAAACCCTATGGCAAGAGCGTCAAAAAAAATGCACACAGAATGCAACCATTGGCAAACCTTGGCTCGATTATAAAGTATGATGTCCGATGCTTCTTTGTCTTTAAGAACCTGGTCCACAACCTGGGTCGTCAAAGCGCGTTAGTAACCAATTCGTTTTCTATGACCTGTATACCACAACGCGCACCTCTCGAAGAACCTGCACGACTTCGAAACGTGTT